GGGGGGCGGGGTCAAGGTGAGCGGCCCCCGGGGGAGTGGGAGGGACACCGGCGTGCTGCACCATGGCCTCCGCTTAGGTTCCGGCTGGGCGGCCTGGGGTTCCCTGGGCTTCTCAGCGTAAAGAGACGGCTGTTGCCTGGCTGGGAGACCCAAAGCGTTCTGTTGGACAGAGACTGGGTTGCCGTGACTGTGACACTTCCCGCGGCGTTTTTTCTCATCGTCGTCCCCTCACCCACAGTGCTCTGTCTGTCTTTTTGGCCACCACGGGTGGGAGCAGGTGTCATAGACAGGAATGGAGCGGATGGTGTCTAGCTGCTGCCACAGTTTGGCGTGGTTTTCATTTCCTGCTTTTTGTTTTGTTTTAGTTTGGTTTGGGTTTTGATTTTTCGAGACAGGGTTTCTCTGTGTAGTTTTGGTCCCTTTCCTGGATCTCGCTCTGTAGCCCAGGCTGGCCTCGAACTCACAGAGATCCGCCTGCCTCTGCCTCCCGAGTGCTGGGATTAAAGGCGTGGGCCACCATGCACACCTGGTTGGTTTTCATTTCTTACAAGAAGACTGTTTGGTTTGTGTACAAAGGGGGGAAGCTGGGGGCGTGGTCAGGGTGGAGCCCCGCCTAGAATCCCCAGTGAGGGGCTGGGGGCGTGGTCAGGGTGGAGCCCCGCCTAGAATCCCCAGTGAGGGGCTGGGGGCGTGGTCAGGTGGAGCCCCGCCTAGAATCCCCAGTGAGGGGGCCGGGGGCGTGGTCAGGGTGGAGCCCCGCCCAGAAACCCCAGTGAGGGGCTGGGGGCGTGGTCAGGGTGAAGCCCCGCCTAGAATCCCCCAGTGAGGGGCTGGGGGCGTGGTCAGGGTGAAACACCGCCTAGAATCCCCCAGTGAGGGGCTGGGGTCCTCGTCAAGGACAGAACAGTTTCCTAGCCTGCAGGTGGCCCGAAGTTTCATGCCCCAGCACCACCAAACATAACAGAGTCACACTGATCCGCAGGGCCCCAGCCACATTCATTGACCGGGAAGGGGCGCTGGGCCCCAGGCGCTTTCAGCGGGGGATGAACAGAACCCTCTGGGGCTTGGTGCCATGTGGTCACAAATGGGCCTGATCCCACGTGACCCTAGCCCTTGGGGCCGGCCGGGCAGAGGACGCCTCACCGGGGGCCCGGGGGCCCAGCCGCAGGTTTCTGCGGACAGACAGTCAAAGCATTCCTTGGGGCGGAGCACAGAGCAAGGCCCCTGTTGAAGTGGTTTTGTGTCTGAGCCGGTGCCAACCCCGGCCTGAGCGCGGAGGGCGCTCTGGGTGATTCACCCCGCCGTCTGTGAAGTCGGGAGGAGCCCTCACATCAGCCAGCCCAGCCTGCGGGTGGCACGGGTGTCATTAGCCTGGTCACCCTCGCGGGCACGCTGGGGTTCTGCATCCGTTCCGGAGTCACCGACACAGAGGCCTGGGAGGACTCTGTGGCAGGGACTCGACTGTCCGGTGCCCACACCAGCTATTCTGAGGCCTCGCAGTCTATTCTTGGGGTCACAGAGGGAGAATTTCCAAGCAGGGGTCTGCATCTGAGTGTTCAAGGGCGGCCGCCGAGGGCACTGGGGGGCATTTCCCCTCTGTGGGGGTGGAAGGGTCCTCAGGGCTGGGCAGCCGGGCTGGGCCAGGTCCCCAGTGTCCCAGCCTACCAAGATAACGGGGGGGTTTCAGATCAGCGGCGTGGAAGGCGGGTGTGGGGGGGAGGGAGTCCTGAAACTGGGGCCAATCCGGGCACCAGAGTGAGACCCCGTCTCGAAAGCGAAAGACCTGTGGATTACCTAGTACGGGGTGTTGGTTCGGGGCTGACAGCTCAGTGAGCAGAGTGCTTATAGCTTGGTTGGTGGAGTGCTTACGCACGCACCCTGGGTCCTCACCAGACAAGGCGGTGCACGCCTGTCGTCATCCCCAGCTAGAGACCCTGTTTCAGAAAAACAAAACAACAATGGCGGCCTATCAAGAATCAGAAGCCGGGGGCCCCAGAGACCAAACGGGAGCGGTGCAGGGGTGGGAGCCGTGCAGGGGTGCGGCGGGGTGAGGGGACCCAGCTTCCTGAAGATGCCAGTGACCTGCGGCTGCGTAATATTCCTTTTTGTGGCTGTGTAATATTCCACAGCCCGTGTGCCGGGGTTTGAGCGGCCATCATCAGCTGACCTGCCCCCCCTGCTTGCGCCCCCCAGGTCTCCAAAGCCTCTTCGGAACTGATGAGCTACTGTGAGCAGCATGCCAGGAACGACCCCCTGCTGGTCGGAGTGCCGGCCTCGGAGAATCCCTTCAAGGACAAGAAGCCTTGCATAATTCTCTAGCGCCGGCCCTGGCTCTCAGCGCCTCCCTCTCCCCGCCCCCCCCCCCCATGGTCCAATTCTTACCCCGAAAAAACCGAATTCCTCCGGCTTTGGGCTCCGAAGGAGCAGAGCCTGCGTGAGGGCAGAGCCCGGGTTAGGGTGGCGCTTGGGCCCCGCCGTGCGCCTCTGAGCGCCCCGATGTTCGCCTCCCGCCCCCTGCCGTCCAGTGTCCCCGGGGCCCCGAGTGACGTGACCAGTTCTTCACGCTCCCCTCGCAGGCGTGAGGACCTGAGTTCTGATCCCGCATAAAAAGCCCAGTGCGGCCGCACAGGTCTGCACCCGGCTCGCACGGGGCCGAAGGCAGGGTCCGAGGGGGCGGCCGCGCTGTCACCGACCTCCGGAGGGGACCCCAGCCTCGCCTGCCCCGCACACCATGCGCGCTGCGCTCCCGGGTGTCCCTCCCGGCGTCCCTGTCCTGCGCAGGGCCCTCTCCACCCGGGTCTGCACACAGCGGGGCCGTTGCTGCTGTGGCCGGATGCAGGATTTTGTCTCCTAAGCCTGAGCCCCATGTGGTCACGGTGGCCCCCGTTCCCTCCCCGTCCCCAGCCACCAAGGCTGTGTGAGCGCAGACACGCAGACTCAGTTATCCTGAAAGTGTGAGAGGGAGTCACAGAGCTGGGGTCCTGCGTCCCACATGGGGGAGGTCACTGTGACTCCGCATCCCCTCCCCTCACTGGACCAAATCACCTTCCAACTAGCTGGAACCCGAGACCCTCAGTGTGAGCACTGCAGACCAGTTCTGCACTGCACCCTCACTGGAGATCCTGGGCGGGGCTCCACCCTGACCACGCCCCCAGCCCCTCACTGGAGATCCTGGGCGGGGCTCCACCCTGACCACGCCCCCAGCCCCTCACTGGAGATCCTGGGCGGGGCTCCCCCTTAACCACGCCCCCAGCCCCTCACTGGGGATTCTGGGCGGGGCTCCACCCTGACCACGCCCCCATCCCCTCACTGGGGGATTCTAGGCAGGGCTCCACCCTGACCACGCCCACAGCCCTCACTGGGGGTTCTAGGCAGGGCTCCACCCTGACCACGCCCACAGCCCTCACTGGGG